TCCTATGGATAGACTCGTCCCCACACCATTGGAATATGAAATGTCCATCACTGACTCAGGGCTTTGAATTTGAGATGAGCACCAATGACATTGCAACTACAAACAACCAAACCCGAGTTCGATTCCCGCTAACAGGTGCCAGACCTCCCCTAGGTTGACTCAGCCTTTAATGAGTACCTCATGTGGTGTGTGAACATCGCCACTAGGGAGACAAAGGTGGCCGGGTGCGGTGCTGGCCACCCACCTCCTCGTGTGCTGTGCCGGTCTTCATGGGTGCTCGCAAACAGCACTTGCCCCAACAGTCTGTTACAGGCTATACGGGGGATCTTTGTCTTTGCTCGGTATGTGGTGAGTGTAGGTGAGTGCATACTCTGACTACTGCTTTCAGCAACTCTCATCTCTCCCACCTCCCTCTCCCAACCTCTTTCTTTTATCTCACCTCTCGCTCTCCCGCAGTCTCACTCTCACCCTCATCCCTTTCTCTCCCTCACTCTCTCTTCCCCTCACCCCATGACACCTGTATCACAGGTGGTTGCCTGCGGCTAGATTCTGATGTGCCCGTGTGTAGGTGCGTGTGTGTGTGTGCGCGCGTGTGTGCGCGCGATCATTAAGGACCTTCATGATGGTGAGCGGGCCCGGGTAAAACTACGTGGCCGGGAGTCAGAGCCATTCCCTGTACACCTTGGGGTGCGACAGGGATGTCCTCTGGCTCCCACATTATTTAACATCTATTTTGACCACGTAGTTCGTGAAGCCTTCAATAGCTGTACCGGGGGAATCTCCATTTGGTACAGATATAATGGGAGGCTGATCGATGCCCGGGTGTGGTCAAGGGATGGCTCCCTATTGCTCAACCACGTTATGTATGCTCATGATTTGGTAATAGCTGCTCATTCAGAGGAGGAGTTGGAGAGGCTGCTGCTGAGACTGGAGCGTGCCACTAAGAGGTGGGGCCTTACCATCAGCCCCACCAAAACTAAGCACCTGCCTGGGTATTTTGTACCATCGGACACTCCACCCCCACAACTCCCAATCGGTGATGGGGCAATTGTGGAGAGAGTGGAGAGTTTCCCATACCTGGGCAGTGTACTTATGACCGGCTCCAGTTTAACAGCAGAGGTCTCACTCCGAATCAGTCGAGCGGCAATATCTTTTCATCGGTTGCGTAACGCTGTGTGGAAGCTACCTGGTCTGTCGCTCCGCACTAAGCTTCAGGTCTTCTCGGCCACGGTCATTCCCTCCCTTCTCTACACTTGCGAAACGTGGACCCCCTTAATGGAACATCTTCGCCGGTTAGAAACATTTAGGCTAACCTGCCTACGATCCATCCTGGGTTTAACCAGGCTGGATTGTGTGAGGAGCTCACAAATCCTTGAAAGATCTGGGCAAGGTCCCATCGGTGAGCTCCTTCGGCAGGCAAGGTTGCGTTGGCTGGGTCATGTAGCCCGCATGCCCAGCCACCGCATGCCGAAACAGCTTTTGTTCGGCCGGATCGAGGGGGCTAAACGGGCGCGGCACGGGCTAGAGAAGAGATGGAGTGATGTGGTACAGGAGGACGTGGAGCTGAGTGGACTTGCCGATGACTGGTACCAGCGGTGTCAAGATCGGCCTATGTGGAGGAGGCTCGTGAAGGACGCTACCGGGCAGTTGGAGGCAGTCGCCCTCCAACAACAACGGAGGGCGGTGGAGCGACGCTCACAACAACGAGCGGAGCGCCGGGTGGCTAAAGCACAGCAGGTTGGCACAGTAGGGGGCACAGGTGGTGCATCAGCCAGTCATCTCAGTCATCTCAGTCAGTCGACCCGTGGCACCTGAGTCTGCCCCGTGACCTCCTGCCCGCGGGCGTTCGACACTTCACGTGGCCTCAAGGTGCACATGGCCTGGCACAAGCGTCGTGGTGACGTCACCGCCACTTAGTGGTGAATAGCGGTTGTTGTTGTTGTTGTGCGTGCGAGTATGGGGAGTACTTGTGTATGGGGAGCGGTAGTGCAGTGGTTCGCGCACTGTGCTCTGAACTCGGGCGACCCGAGTTCAGTTGGTGCTCACCAACAATAACAGTGACAGATATCTGAACTGGTGCCAGACCCTCCCCTAGGTTGACTCGGCCTTTAATGAGTACCTGATGTGGTGTGTGAACATCACCTCTTGGGGGGCAAAGGTGGCCGGGCGCGGTACTGACCCGCTTGTGTGCCGTGTTGGCCTTCATACATGTTCGGTAGGCCGTATGAGGAATATATATTTTTTTGTGTGGTGTCTCGAGTTTGCTTCTTTGATTCTCAGTGGTCAGTGAACTGTGCCAACAGCGGTGATGAATGTCTGAACCGGTCCTGGGCCTCCCATAGGCTCACTCAGCCTCAAATGAGTACCTGGGGCGGTGTGTAAACATCGCCACTGGGGGTGAGAAAGGCGGTCGGGCGTGGTGCTGGCCACCCACCCCCTCTGGTGCCATTTCAGCCTTCATAGGTGCTGGCGAGCACCACTCGCCCCAACAGTCATTTAAATGCTATACGGTAGATCTTTGTATTTGTATATATGTGTACGTGTGTTTATATACGTGCGTGTATATATATGTGCGTGTATAAATGTGTGCGTACGTGTATGTGTGCACATGTGCGTGCGTGCGCGCGCATTTATAATTTATCCTCCCGCTGGCCTGTCGATGCCTGTGTTTATTTCCTCCTCCTCCTTCCCCCACACCTCATCCCCCCCTGCACACCCGCGCGATGAGAGATTAAAGATTGATGCCTCCTGTGCACTCTCTCACCTACACCGGCCACAGTTTCTATCCAGAGCTGGACGAGAAAGAGAGAGTCCGTGACAGCTCCAGGACTCGAACCTGTGGTCTCAATCCCACTGGTTCGGTGGCTCTGACACGGCCAATTATTAAACCCCGAGCGAGAGAGACACTCTCACACCCAGGATCCTCAGTCGCGATGGCTCTCACACGTCCATCGTGAACTCGCAGAGATAAAAGGAGAAACAATTTTAAGGCACCCAGAATCTCGACTCAAACTCAGGGTCTCAGTGGTTCTGGTTTGATGTCTGACATGGACATTATGAGTAGTTTAGGGAGAGAGAGTGAGAGAGAGACAACCAAACCCATGGCTAGAACCCAGGATATGTGAAGGTTCATGGCTGTGGAGACACCCACTCCCAGGAATCTAACCGAGCCCTTTAGAGGTTGCTGTATTTTGTATTCAGCCAGAGGCGTAATCCTCCGTAGGGACGCCCTGCCTCAGGGCTCAAACCCACGCGTTAGAAGTTTCTGGCTCAGCCACCTGAGAGATGCTCACAGCCCTTTGCCTGTGTGTGCGTGTGTTTGTGGTGTGTGCACGGTGGTGTTTGTGTGTGTTTGTGTGTTTGTGTGTGCACGGCGGTGTTTGTTTGTGTGCGTGTTTTGTGTGTTTGTGTGTGTGCACGGTGGTGTTTGTGTGTGTTTGTGTATGCACGGCGGTGTTTGTTTGTGTGCGTGTTTTGTGTGTTTGTGTGTGCACGGTGGTGTTTGTGTGTGCGTGTTTTGTGTGTTTGTGTGTGCACGGAGGTGTTTGTTTGTGTGCGTGTTTTGTGTGTTTGTGTGTGCACGGTGGTGTTTGTTTGTGTGCGTGTTTTGTGTATTTGTGTGTGCACGGAGGTGTTTGTGTGTGTGCGTGTTTGTTTCTGCGTGTGCACGGTGGTGTTTGTGTGTGCACGGTGGTGTTTGTGTGTGTGTGTTTTGTGTGTTTGTGTGTGCACGGTGGTGTTTGTGTGTGTGCGTGTTTTGTGCATTTGTATCTGTGTGTTGATACATGAATGCGAATGTGAGCACGATGGTGTGTTTGTGTGTATTTATACTTCAATGTGTGTTTATATACGCGTGAGTGCGTTGTTTGTATGTATATAAATATAGTGTGTGTGATGGCATGTGTCTTGTGTGTGTATGTATTTTGGTATGTGTGTGCATGGGTGTTTGTATGGTAGTGTGTATTGGTGTATCTTTGTGTATGTGTTGATGTGTGTGTACGTGTGTGCGACCTTCCTAGGTGCTTGCTTAACAGCACTTGCCGCAAAAGTCTGTTTAGGCTGTGAGGGGGTCTTTGTCTTTGGGGGAGCGGTGGTGCAGTGGTTAGCACATTGCACTTCGACAACCAGAGTCTGATTCCGGCTCACTGCCAACACCGGTGACGAACATCGAAGCCAATTCTGTACCTTCTCTACGTCGACTCGGCCTCAAACGAGTACCTGGTACGGTGTGTAAACGTCGCCACTGGGGAGACAAAGGCGGCCTGGCGTGGTGCTGGCCACCCACCTCCCTCGTGTGCCGTGCCGGCCTTCGTAGGTGCTGCTCGCTAACGGCACTTGCCCCAACGGTCTGTGAAGGCTACACAAGGGATCTTTGTCTTTGTTACACGGTGGTGATATCTCAACCGATCCTGGATCCTGCCCCACCCACCCCCCCTTCACCAAACTGCATCGACCAGTTCAGTGAAGTATGGGCAAACAGCTCGACTGATGGATGTAGCATTGGGGGGGGGGGGACCTTCATCCAGCAGTGGATTGACAAAGGGTTGTTACTGCCCATTATGTATGTATATACGCATACGTGTGTGTGTGCACTGCGCTACGGACCTGGCGATCCAAGTTCGATTCCCGCTCACGGCCAACACCGGTGACGATTATCTGAGCCGGTCCTGGGCTTCCCCTAGGTCGACTCGGCCTTAAAGGAGTACCAGGTGCAGTGTCTGGTAAACATCGCCACTGGGGAGACAAAGGCGGTCGGGTGTGGTGCTGGCCACCCACCTTTACTTGTGCCTTTATAGGTGCTACTCGCTGACAGCACTTGTTAGCGAGTAGCTGGTGGCGGGTTTTAACGACACACGTTCATATTTACGCTGTCTAACCCCAAAAACCTCTAATACGGATGATATTGGTCGCGAAAGCCTACGTGTTTAACAGCACTTGCCCCAACAGTCTGTTAAGGCTACACGGGGGATCTTTGTCTTTGTTGCGTGTGTTTGTCGCAGGGATTGTGCAGCTGGGAGGCACGGAGACACGGGGGGACAGGAGGAGGCGGTGAGGGCTGTAGCTGGTGCCGTGTGGAGGTGGTGTTTGCCAGTTGTCAGCCAAACCCGGCGCTCAGATTCTGCCTCGGAGCTCACGGCTGACGTAGCCGCAGGTGAGAGACTACTGAGAGGGTTGAGCAGAGTGAGCGAGCATGTGTGTGTGTGGAGTGTGGTGGATAGTGTGTGCGTGTGGGAGGGGTGTGCAGTGTGTTGTGAGTGAGTGGATGAATGTGTGTGTGTGCGTGTGTCTCAAGGTGCACATATCCTGGCACAAGTGTCGTGGTGACGTCACCGCCACTTAGTGGCGAATGACGGTTGTTGTTGTTGTTGTGTGTGTCTCTGTAGTGGTGTGAGTATGTTGCGTGTGTGAGTGTCGGAGGCATAGCGAGAGATAGAGAGGGTGACATTGATACACATACAGTGAGACAGAAACCTACAGAGATGCAGAGAGAGAGAGATGGAGAGACAGAGCGGTAGTGTAACGGTTAGCGCTACGCTGCGCTACGAACCTGGGTACCCGGGTTCCATTCCCGCTCAAGGCCAACACCAGTGACGATTATCTGAACCGGTCCTGGGCCTACCCTAGGTCGACTCAGCCTCAAATGAGTACCTGGTGCGGTGTGTAAACATCGCCACCGGGGAGACAATGGCGGCCGGGCGTGGTGCTGGCCACCCACCCCCTCGTGTGCCATGCTGGCTTGCATAGGTGCTCGCCAACAGCACTTGCCCCAACAGTCTGTTTAGGCTATACGGGGGATCTTTGTCTCTCTATCGGTGTGAGTATGTGACGTGTGTGAGTGTAGGAGGCATAGCGAGAGAGATAGAGAGGGTGACATAGAGACAGAGAGAGACACACACAGAGTGAGACAAACCTACAGAGATACAGAGAACGAGATGGAGAGACAGACATATAGACAGAAGGTGGTTTTAATTGGCAATATTGCTAAATCATCTAGCTGAGGAGGTTGGAAAGAGGACATGGATACAGAGTGAGAGATCGAGATAAAGACAGACATGGTGATATATATAGATGGACACAGACATACAGGAGAGAGATAGAGAGAGACACAGACAGACAGGAGAGAGACACAGACAGACAGGAGAGAGACATAGGGAGGGATGGTTTTAATTGACAGTTTTGCTGAGTATTGTCGGGATGAGGGGGAGGGGAAGCTGTGAGTCTGGGCTGTGAGAAACCTGACAGAGAGAGGAGAGAGGCAAGGAGAGCAGGCAGAGAGGTGATGGGGATGAGAGAGATGGGTGAGAGAAAAGAGGGGAGAGAGATTGGTGAGGGAGGAGTAATGGGTGAGAGAGGGAGGAGAGACATTTAGAGAGGAAAGAGAATATAGGAATGAGAGGGAGAGGTACGTGAGAGGGCAGTTCGAGTTGGGAGAGCTTAGCGAGGGAGGAGATTGGATTGGTGGGAAAGAAAGGTGGAGAGAGAAGGGAGAAAAATCAGAGAGGGCAAATGATGATGGTAGAGAGAGAGAGAGCGCGAGCAGAGAGATTGGAGAGAGGCGAGTAGAGAGAGGGGAGATATGGGGAGAGTGGGGAGAGAGTAGAGAAGGGAGAGTGGAGAGACAGGAACGAGAGTGGAGAGACAGCAGTAAGTACCGTTAGAGAGGAGAGAGAGTGGGGGGAGAGTATAGAGAGATAAGGAGAGAGTGAAGAGAGATAAGGGGTTGAGAGAGGAGAGTGTGGTGTGAGAGAGTCAAGCGTGGAGAGAGATAAGGGAGAGGGAGGAGAGAGTGGAGGGAGAGAGGAAGCGTAATGCGTGACTGACAGAAACGCTGACTCCAGTGAGAATAGTGCACACACGCACGCACATACACACACTCGCATGCATCTCATACACACACATACACACACACATACACACACACGTCTCATACACACACACATACACACACACATCTCATACACACACACGTCTCATACACACACATCTCATACGCACACACATACACACACACACGTCTCATACACACACATCTCATACACGCACATCTCATACACACACACACGCATCTCATACACACACACGCATCTCATACACACACACACACACGCATCTCATACACACACATACACACGCATCTCATACACACACACACACACGCATCTCATACACACACACACGCATCTTATACACACACACACACGCATCTCATACACACACACAAAGACTAAGGCCCCCGTATAGCCTTAACAGACTCGGGGCAATCGCTGGGAGCAAACACCTATGAAGGCCGGCCCAGCACACGATGGGGTGGGTGGCCAAACACCACGCCTGGCCGCATTTGTCTCCCAAGTGGCGATGTTCACACACCGCACCAAGTACTCATTTAAGGCTGAGTTGACTTCAAAGACGGAAACAGGAATACTTCTTCACAATTATGGCAAATCGCCTGATGAAGCTGGTTGTAATAATCAGTGAAACGTCATACTCTAATGGTAAATGTTCTGGGTTTACTATCCAATACACCAGTGTGCTGAAGTAGTAACTAATTGGAACGTTTTGTTTACGTGAAAAACCTTACTAATTGGCTGTGTCAGGTGGTGGCGGGTTTAACGACACATTTATATTGACGCGATCTAACCCCAAAAAACGTCCCTTTATTATGGATGATATTGGTCGCAAAAGCCAACTAGGTTTTAAACTGAGTCGACCTAGGGGAGGCCCAGGACTGGTTCAGATAATCGTCGCTGGTGTTGGCCGTGAGTGGGAATCACTCAGGTCACCAGGTTCGTAGTGCAGCACGCTCACCGCTGCACACCGCTTCCCATACACACACACACATGCATCTCATACACACAACAAAGACAAATATCTCCCGTATAGCCTTAACAGACTGTTGGGGCTTAGTGCTGTTAGCGAGCACCTATGAAGGCCAGCACAGCACACGAGGGGGTGGGTGGCCAGCACCATGCTCGGCCGCCTTTGTCTCCCGAGTGGTGATGTTTACACACCGCACCAGGTACTTATTTTGAGGCCGAGTCGACCTAGGAGAAGCCCATGACCGGTCCAGATTATCGTCACTGGTGTTGGCCGTGAGCGGGAATCGAACTCGGGTCGCCAGGTTCGTAGTGCAGCGCACTAACCGCTGCACTAACACTACCCTTATACACACATGCATCTCACACACACACGCAGACACGCACACACACACACACATGCATCTCACACGCGCACGCACGCATCACGTACGGTCAGATGTCAGTGCTGGTTATGAGACTAGAGTTGCCTTCCTTCGGGTGGTCAACCGCGCAGCAACAGATACACGACGACCTACTGACCCCCGACCTGGTTTGCGATGGTGTCACTTGAACTCGATCAGGCCTCACGCTGTTTGCGGTGGAGAGCGGAGACCTGGTCCCGGATTGCAACCCGCGGACGGCAGCTTTGCTGCTGCGCGATTTCGCGTGGGACGAGGGTCTGCCTCCGCCACTCGCCTGTCGCTTCCTCACCCACGTCATCCCCAACGGGTGCTCGCAAACATCCCGTGACGCCGCGCGCGCACACACACACACACACACGCACGCCGAGTTCAAGTTGATGTTGTGTAACCAGGGCGAGAACTCGAGAGAGCGGGATGGGATGCGTACGTACGTTGAGCTTCCTTCACACCGTACGTAGCCAACCGTGCTAATCGGAGGTGCCGGGGGAAGAACAACAAACTAAACACAAAAAGCAGTTCTCAAGAAATGAGTTTTTTTATTTAGATCTAAAAGTGCATAGCTCCAGACGGCTGCAGAAGCGCATCTGAAAGCGCGCGATGCGGTGACCGTCTTGGCTCGATGGCCAGCCAAAAACGTGTGACGTACGTGTGTTCACCGGTGTCGGCTGAGTCTGTGACCCGGCCATTGTGTGCGTGTGTTCCCGCAGCGGGGAGCGTCGCGCACGCCGATTGGCACACTGCGCTACGAACCCGGCGACCCGAGTTCAATTCCCGCTCACTGCCATCACCGGTGACGAATATCTGAACCGGTCCCCTGGGTCGACTCAGCCTTAAATTAATACCTGTTGCGGTGTGTGAACATCAGCACTGGGAGGACAAACGTGGCCGTGCGTGGCTTTAGCCACGCCACCTCCTCGTGACGTACCGGCCTTCATCAGTGCTATACGGGGTGGGGGGGTATCTTTGTCATTGCAGGTCCCTGAGGGGGGTGGAGGCTGCTGAGGATGGGGGACCTGGGTTCGACTCCCTTTGTGTGCGCGTGTGGATTCGCTGTGTGCTGTACGCACCCACGGCCGATGGTAAGAAAACGACAGCAGCAGCATCATCATCGTCAGTCACAAAATCATCAGCAGTAGCGGCAGCATTATTAGTGTCGTGTATGTAAGTGTGTATCAGTGTATATGAGTTTGTGTACATGAGCAACTGAGTGTGAGTATGCGTAAGTTTATTTGGTGAGTATGTGTATGTCTGTGTATATGATTGTGAATAGGTGAGTGTGTGTCTGTGTGTTTCTGGAATGGTGTGTGTGTGTCTGTGTGTATGATTCTGTATATGGGTGAGTATGTATGTGTGATTCTGTATAGGTGAGTGTGTGTGTCTGTGTGTGATTCTGTATATGATTCTGGATAGGTAAGTGTGTGTGTGCGCTTCTGCGTGTATTATTCTGTATAGGTGTTCGTGTGTTTGTGTGTGAGTCTGTGCGTAATTCTGTATAGGTGTGTGTGTGTACAGTATGTCCATGTATGATTCTGTAGTGAGTGTGTAAATATTTGTGTTTATTAATCTGTAATGATGAGTGTGTGTCTGTGTGTACTATTCTGTATTGGGTGAGTGTGTGTGTGTGTGTGATTCTGTATTGGTGAGTGTGTGTGTGTACGATTCTGTATTGGGTGAGTGTCTCTGTGTATGATTTTGTATATGTGTGTGTGTGTGATTTTGTATAGGTGAGTGTGTGTGTGTACGGTTCTGTATTGGGTGAGTGTCTCTGTATGATTTTGTATATGTGTGTGATTCTGTATAGGTGAGTGTGTGTGTGTACGATTCTGTATTTGGTGAGTGTCTCTGTTTATTATTTTGTATATGTGAGTGTGTGTGTGATTCTGTATAGGTGAGTGTTTGTGTGTACGATTTTGTATTGGGTGAGTGTCTCTGTGTATGATTTTGTATATGTGTGTGTGTGATTCTGTATAGGTGAGTGTGTGTGTGCGCGCCTGCTGCAGTGCAAAAACTGTTTTTCACGCCTCGTTCTGAGCCGTCACTCGCTTGACCGGGCACTGCGTGACACGAGGAGGTGCAGTGAGCCTATGTGTATGTGTGTATGCATGTGTCTGTGTGTGTATGGGGAGAGTTAGTGTAGTGGTTAGCGTGCCGTGATACGAACCTGTAGACCAGAGTTTGAGTCCCGTTCACGGTCAACATCAGTGACGATTATCTGAACCAGTCATGGGCCTCCACTAAGTCGATGCAGCCTCAAATTAGTACCAGGTGTTGTGTGTAAACATCACCAGTGGGGAGACAAAGGCGGCCGGGTGTGGTGTTGGCCACCCACGATTTCGTGTGCCGTGCCGACCTTCATAGGTGCTCGCTAATGGCACTTGCCCCAATAGTTTATTCAGACTATACGGGTGATCTTTGTCAATGGAGCGGTGGTGTAGCGGTCGGCACGCTGCACTACGAACCTCGTGACCCAAGTTCGGTTCCCGCTCACGGACAACAGCAGTGACGATCTACTGAACCAGTGCTGGATCTGCCCCAAGGTCAACTCAGTGAGTACCTGGTGTGGTGTGTATATAAACATCTTCATTGGGGAGACAAATGTGGCCGGGCGTGGTGCTGGGCATCCACCCTCTCCCTCGTGTGCTGTGCCGGCTAGGTGCTGCTACTCTCTCACGGTATATGCCCTAACAGTATTTTCAGGCTATATGTGGGATCTTAGTCTTCGCAGTGGTAGTCGTAGCGGTTAGCCCGCTTGCGCTACGAACCCGGCGACCGGAGTTCGATTCCCGTGCCGGCCTTCACAGGTGCTACTTGCTAACAGCGTCCAACAGCCTTGTAAAGGCTACAAGTGTGTGCGTGTGTTCAACAGCGGACGTGGAGCAGCTGCAGGAGTTGACACGCCAGGTTCTACGCCTGCCCGAGGTGGTATCGCTCATGGTGGGGGCGGGGCAGGGGGCCCAGCCTCCCTCCCTCCCTTCTTACGGAGCCGCCGACCCTCAGCTGAAACTCTCGCAGCTCTTCCAGGTACAAAGAACAGAGGCAAAGGTCGCCCGTGTTTTAGATCGTCGTCTACACAGACGTTTGCGGGGGCAAGTGGCTGTTAGGATCCGAATGAAAAACGCGAGTTTTTATCAAGGCGCCGCTCGGAGGGCAATTCTAATAATGTTGGTTTTAAACGCCGCGCAGTTAGAGCACTTTTTTTCCCAACAACATTAACCAAATCGTTGGATTTTCATTGTCGTCATGATAATCATCGTCGTCATAAAATATATCCCCGTGTGTGTACGGGGGGGAGCGGTGTCAAAGTGATTAGCAAACTACTCTACGAACCCAGACCACCCGACTTAGGTTCCTGGCCACGGCCAACATCAGCGGCGAATGTCACAACTGGTCCTGGGCTCTCCTCTAGGTCGACTCGGCCTTAAACGCGTACCCTGTATGTACTGTATGTTTGAGGTGACGCAGGAGCGAGCGCAGATGGCACTTCTGTCACTGATCTCAGTCGGTCAACCCACAGCACCTGGGTCTGTGCTGTGAGCACCTTGCAGCAGCGAGCCTTCCAAACTTCCCGCGATGGCCTTCTAAGTACACCCAGCCCGGCACAAGTGCTGCGGGTGACGTCGCTGTAGCTTCGTTTGGCGATTGGCGGCCGTTGATGGTGCCCGAATATATAAATGCATGTAAGGATGTCAAATCGTTTTCGGGGGAAAAAATATATATATATATACGCGTCTCACTAAAGCCAATGACTCCAGCCTGTGTGTGGGTGGTGGCGGCGGCTACGCACGTGGGCTGCAATCCAGCCCCGTGGAGGCAGTCGACGAGAGGGTTGGCGGATCGCACAAATGTTGCGAAGCTCCCTTCCCGTGGGCGTTGGGGTGCCATATGAATCCTGGCTCGCCGGCGGGAGAAGGCAATCCGGAAAAACGTGGACTGCTCTCCATCTGTTCCACCTGTGTGGGTTGACGTGTCACTCCCCCGTTCGGTTGCGCGGGATTTTTCCGGGGATGGTCAAGTTTTGAACCTGCGCCTATGAACACTCGTTGCTTGCCTGAAGACCACTCTTGTGTGTTGTGGATTGTACGGTGGTGGGAGATGCGGAGTGCGTGAATGAGGCTATATCAGCACACCGTTATCCTCAAACTCCTACTGCCCCATCTCCCTTCATCTCCCCCCCCCCCGTCTCCCTACCTCCTGTTTCTCTGTCTCCCCCATCTCCATGTCTCCCCCTGTCTTCCCCTACCTCCCTCTGTCTCCTCCTATCTCTCCCTGTCTCTCCCCAATTCCCCCCCTTCTCCCCCTGTCTCCCTGTTTTCACCATCTCTCTGTCTCCCCTCCCCCCCCCCATCTCCCCCCACGTCTCCCTCTGTCTTCTTATCTCCCCCTGCCTCCCCCCATCTCCCCCTATGTCACACCGTCTCTCCCACCGCCACCGCCGCCACCCCACAGGGCGTGGGCCGCGCGTTCTCCGAGGCCGCGTCTCTGGGCGAGCGCTCGGCGCTGGCGTCGCTGCTCCTCGCGTGGCTGCCCGACCTCCCCCAACGCGTGCGCCCAGCGGCGGGCCCCAGGGCGGCGCCAGCCAAGAGCCTCGCCGCCTACCGGCTTTGCGGTAAGACTCTCTCCCCCTTACCCCCCCCCCCCCGCCGCCTACGCCGCCGGGCGTGCCGCTGGACGGGAAGTGACTCTCTCACAGGGGAGAGTTCGTAATGGCTGGAGCCCTGGGTCTGCGTGACTCTCTCACAGGGGAGAGTTCGTAATGGCTGGAGCCCTGGGTCTGCGTGACTCTCTCACAGGGGAGAGTACGTAATGGCTGGAGCCCTGGGTCTGCGTGACTCTCTCACAGGGGAGAGTTCGTAATGGCTGGAGCCCTGGGTCTGCGTGACTCTCTCACAGGGGAGAGTTCGTAATGGCTTGAGCCCTGGGTCTGCGTGACTCTCTCACAGGGGAGAGTTCGTAATGGCTGGAGCCCTGGGTCTACGTGACTCTCTCACAGGGGAGAGTTCGTAATGGCTGGAGCCCTGGGTCTGCGTGACTCTCTCACAGGGGAGAGTTCGTAATGGCTGGAGCCCTGGGTCTGCGTGACTCTCTCACAGGGGAGAGTTCGTAATGGCTGGAGCCCTGGGTCTGCGTGACTCTCTCACAGGGGAGAGTTCGTAATGGCTGGAGCCCTGGGTCTGTGTGACTCTCTCACAGGGGAGAGTTCGTAATGGCTGGAGCCTTGGGTCTGCGTGACTCTCTCACAGGGGAGAGTTCGTAATGGCTAGAGCCCTGGGTCTGCGTGACTCTCTCACAGGGGAGAGTTCGTAATGGCTGGAGCCCTGGGTCTGCGTGACTCTCTCACAGGGGAGAGTTCGTCATGGCTGGAGCCCTGGGACTTGGTGTCGTTAGCGGATCGTTGTCTTTGGTGGTGTAGTGCTCACTTCCCCTGCACCGCCCTGATCACCCTATCTCCTGGCCTGGTTGCCACAGTGGCAAGATGTTAACTACCCCGCCTAGTATACAGGAAGTCGTGGGTTCGATCCCAAACCTGACACCTGCTGTATGTTTGGCGTTTGCGTCTTTCTCGCTCCCCGCGGTCGTGTGGATTTTTCCCTGGGTCCTCCGGTTTTTCCCCTTTCACATTTAGAATCAACATCACGCCTTTAGAGCATTTGACTGCTGCTATACATTTCCACACCATGATAAGCCACTTGGTTGAGCTATCATTTGTGGAGAGCCAGGTCACTTCTGAAAAAGAGCTACACATCTCAGTGGGCCTTACCTGGTAAGATAAAAATAGTAAATTGGGTTGGTGGCATTGTCGTCGGCCGTCTCATCACGCCTGCCGTGGCTTGTTTGGGCTTGGGGGGTGGTCGGGATTTCCTGCCTTCGGTTGGGGGGGGGCAAGGGGTGGGAGGGTGGGTGGGGGCAGCCGTCAGGTTTTTAAAGGGACCACGAGTAACCAAACCACAAAGTAGTAAATTATACATTTAGTCGATTAACCCACGTTCTCATCCCAGTTCTGGTGCCCACCAACTCCACATTATTGTTAAGGTCTAGTTTTTTTTTTTTCTCACGGACGATAGAAGCAGTATCAGCAGCGATGTCGTTGTCCAGGAGGTCGATGCCACTAATGTGAAGCTACTGCTGCTGCTGCTCCTTCCGCCACAACGAGAGGGCTTCAGCAGAGAGAGTCAGTGTGGTGCTACACTATCCACGGACTTATAGGGCAATGCCAGTCTATAGGAAATGTATGTACATTTCCTATAGACTGGCATTGCACGCGATGGCAGTAGCAGCAGCGATGTTGTTGTTCGGTAGCTCAGTGCCACGAATGTCGAGGTCCTGCTGCTGCTGCTGCTGCCACACCGAGAAGGCTTCAGCACAAGAGAGAGAGTTTGTGTGGTGCTGCTGTTCCTTGTCATGCGTTGAAATAGCGCAGACCGCAGTGGGTTCACTCGACACTATCTCCGTGTATCGTTGTGGATCTCTATGTGTCGTCTACGTATCTCTGAGTTTACTATACGGTCCATAGTTTGGGTTGCACTACTCTTGCTTTTCTTTAATGTATCTCTGTGTGTCTCTGTTGATCCTTTGTGTCTCTATGTATCTATGGGTCTGTATCTCTGCATGTCTATGTATCATTATGGGTATCTGCATCTCTGTAGGTCTGTTTATCTCTATTGGTTTGTTTGTATTGCTACGGCTCTTGGTTGATCTCCATGAATGCTTATGTCGCTGGGTCTCTATGTGTCTCTACAGGTCCCTTTGTATCCTTATGTGTCTATGGGTCTATATCTCTGTGGGTCTCTATGCATCTCTTCAGAGCTCTATTCTTTCTTGCATATGGCAATACATTCAGGAGCTGAGTGTACCTCTGGGTCTTTGTGTCTCTACGGGTCCGTTTGTGTCTCTACGCATCTCTGTGTATCTATGGGTCTATATCTCTGTGGGTCTCTACGCATCTCTGCGTATCTATGGGTCTATATCTCTGTGGGTCTCTACGCATCTCTGCGTATCTATGGGTCTATATCTCTGTGGGTCTTTACGCATCTCTGGATGGCTATATTCATTCTTGCATGTCGCAATACGTTCAGGAGATAAATGCCAATTGTAGAGGTCTGCTGAGCGATGAGAGAGAGAGAGAGAGAGTTTGTGTTGTTTTTCCCTTCCTCCGTTAGAGGAGCCCCAGACTTCAAAGTAACAGATAAATAACGCAAACGGCAATGGGTACCCATAGTCATTTTATGCATTCATTAACTCCCCCCATTTCGTGCAAGAAGAGCACACAAGTGTTGTCATCACATCTACCCCTCTATTTTAAGGAACGAAACAGGAGGGCTTCTCCACAAATCTTGCTATCGCCTGATGGAGCTAGTTGTAATTACTGGCGAAATGTGCGTACTCAGATGATCAATTTTGTGGCTTTGCTTTCCAACACACCGGTGTGCTGTACTAGTAACAAATTTGCATGTTATGTTTACGTGACAAACCTTACTAATTGGCTGTGTCGGGTGGTGGCAGATTTAATAACACATATATTTACGTGATCTAAACCAAAAAAAAACCTGTATTATGTATGATATTTGTCGCAAAAGCCTGCTACGTTTTAAACTAACAGAACGGAGTGGAGTCCTCTTACACGTAGAAAAATGTGCTGCGCACAGCTCGTTTTGAATCTGTGAATTCGCCGTCGCGGCGTGAGGATGAGTGAGGTTACGGTTGGTGCTCCTCACAGCTAGCGGCGCACTGCGTCGTGTCGGGAGAGTGGCCACAGAAATTCAGAATCAGAAAATGTATTTATACTGCAGGAATCTGATGAGCTGTAAAGCTCTTTTTCACCGATGTCCAGTCGGGAACACGGGGTAAGAGTGTTGCAACAACAGAAGATTATGCCCCAGAACTTCAGAATCGGAATCGGATTTTTTTTTTTTATGCCGGAGGAATCCCATGAGCTACGAAGCTCTTTTTCACAGATGTCCAGGAGGGGAGGGCTAAGAACGTTACAACAACATGAAAAAAAACACACATAGCAGTGCAAAGTACAATTAAAGGTAAACAAATCACCCAAAAAAGCATACGGATAAAACTCAACCATCCCAATCCTAGTACTGAGGTCACGGGCAATGACCCTTTTCTGGTACCCGACGATAGGAGGGGGGTTACACATTGTGTATGCCCTGCTAAGTGAGTTGTTTGTTTATCGCGTGTCAGTTAAAGCAGAACTGGGGAGAAAAAAAAACATTAAGCACGGTAGCGTGATGGGGTTTTTTCGCATGGGCAATTTGCTATCGAGTTGAGGACCGTCGGCTCTCTACGCTCGAGAGAACCCCGGGTTGATCATCGGCGGCCGTACCCTGCGTTCAAACCCCCAGGGTGTTAGCGTCGCCCGTTCGGCTTCTTTAACTCCCTATAAGAAAGTCACACAGACCCAAAGGCTCAGGCCATTACGAACTCTCCCCTGTGAGAGAGTCAAGTAGACCAAGGGCTTCAGCCATTACGAACTCTCCCCTGTGAGAGAGTCGCGCAGACCCAGGGCTCCAGCCATTACGAACTCTCCCCTGTGAGAGAGTCACGCAGACCCAGGGCTCCAGCCATTACGAACTCTCCCCTGTGAGAGAGTCACGCAGACCCAGGGCTCCAGCCATTGCAAACTCTCCCCTGTGAGAGAGTCACGCCGACCCAGGGCTCCAGCCATTATTAACTCTCCCCTGTGAGAGAGTCAAGTAGACCAATGGCTCCAGCCATTACGAACTCTCCCCTGTGAGAGAGTCACGCAGACCCAGGGCTCCAGCCATTACGAACTCTCCCCTGTGAGAGAGTCACACAGACCCAGGGCTCCAACCATTACGAACTCTCCCCTGTGAGAGAGTCAAGTAGACCCAGGCTTCAGCCATTATTAACTCTCCCCTGTGAGAGAGTCAAGTAGACCAATGGCTCCAGCCATTACGAACTCTCCCCTGTGAGAGAGTCACGCAGACCCAGGGCTCCAGCCATTACGAACTCTCCCCTGTGAGAGAGTCACGCAGACCCAGGGCTCCAGCCATTACGAACTCTCCCCTGTGAGAGAGTCACACAGACCCAGGGCTCCAACCATTACGAACTCTCCCCTGTGAGAGAGTCACGCAGACCCAGGGCTCCAGCCATTACGAACTCTCCCCTGTGAGAGAGTCAAGTAGACCAAGGGCTTCAGCCATTACGAACTCTCCCCTGTGAGAGAGTCACGCAGACCCAGGGCTCCGGCCATTACGAACTCTCCCCTGTGAGAGAGTCACGCAGACCCAGGGCTCCAGCCATTACGAACTCTCCCCTGTGAGAGAGTCAAGTAGACCCAGGGCTCCAGCCATTATGAACTCTCCCCTGTGAGAGAGTCACGCAGACCCAGGGCTCCAGCCATTACGAACTCTCCCCTGTGAGAGAGTCACGCAGACCCAGGGCTCCAACCATTACGAACTCTCCCCTGTGAGAGAGTCAAGTAGACCCAGGGCTCCAGCCATTACGAACTCTCCCCTGTGAGAGAGTCAAGTAGACCCAGGGCTCCAACCATTACGGACTCTCCCCTGTGAGAGAGTCACACAGACCCAGGGCTCTGGCCATTGCAAACTCTCCCCTGTGAGAGAGTCACGCAAA